CATCAGATCAGGATTAAACAAAGACTGTGAATGGCTATCCAACTACAGAAGCAGTTTCTCCTCCCTTGGTGTTCACACCTCAACTGCTAGCAGAGCACCTCACCCTCCCTGATTGAACTAACCTCGTTATCTCCATACTGATTTATACCTGCCTCTGGAGATTTCCATTACTTGCATCTGAAGAAGTGAGGTTCTTACCCATGAAAGCTTATGCTCCCAATACTTCTGTTAGTCTTAAAGGTGCCACAGGACCCTCTGTTGCTTTTTACAGATTCAGACTAACACGGCTACCCCTCTGATACTTGAACCTATTAAATGAATTTTACATGCACCATGATAATGTTGTGAGAGTTAAAAAGTGACTTTTGCATTCCAATGAATTATTAGGCATTACAGACACCGTCTCATTTGCAATCTAAGACCATTCTTTATTCTCCCAAATTTGTATGGGCTTTTGAAAACTGGTTCTCTTATCTATAATGGCATGTCAGAAAAATCCACTTCCCTTTCCAGCAACCTTCACAGATATGCCTGAATATTTTTGATATTGTTAAAAATGTGCTATTAACTATACCAAACCCATATACTGAAGTCATGATTTGATATCAGATACACATGAATCATCTGTCTGTATGAAGCCTCTCTCTCACTGGTATCTTCAAGATATAATTTGTACATTAAAAGTGCAAGAATATAGTCAACTTTCCATCAGGTTTATACCCCAAATATATATATAAACTCTATACCTCCCGATCTTCCTGTAGGTTAGGGTTACTTTGTGTCTCTAGGCAAATAAAGCAGTTTTAAAGGTCAGCAGACCAGACTTTCAGACATTTTCTCCGTTCCCCTCCCCCATAGCCAATGGACACCCTTGGATGGCAAAGGATGTGCCATTGTTGCACCTGTCAACCAGTAGCCCTCAGTTTGGTTTAATTTGCATCAGTAAGCAACCTGCTGCAGACACCCCTCAGTATCAGAAAGGTATAAAGGTAGATTACTATTTCTCAGTCACAGCTCAGGTATTGCATCAGCACTTTCAACTGTTTAAAAACAATTAGTTTTAAATACTGCCATTATGTGAGTTTGACTTCTCTTCCACGTGTTCTTTTTCTCTAGAATACTCAAGGGTAAACATGATGACAGGTAGAGGAAGTGATATGTAACTCATGCTAAGTATAGATTTTCCTTTTATATATGGCCAAAAAATGGAAGGAGGAGGGAGAATCCTATTGTTTTTCTATCAAGTGATGTGGCAATTACATTACTCTTTTCTTCTTATAAAAGGGAGTCTTAAAGACTGGATAAAGGTAAGTACACAAGGAACTGTAATATTGATTATTGTTGGCAACTATGGTTTCAGCACTTAAATGAATCTCTATCACTGTTTTAAAATACTGTAATTATGTAGAACCTCTGTCCTTTTTCAAATGCCTTCTTTCAGAACAGGAGTTTGAGGCTTTCATGATGTCTTTGGGAAGACCTCAAAGGTTCTAAATTAAGAAATACATGTATCAACAACAGGGAAAGTAAGGTACTTTTTTGGATAGGCCTTTGGAATAAACTGCAATGAACTGAAATTAGTAGTTAGATTCTTAACTTTGGACATATCTACATTATGGTGCCATAGCTATGCTGATGCAGAACTTTACCACAGATGCTCAATGCAAGGCGTTTTCCTGTCGCTGTAGTAACTTCCACCGCCCCAAGCCACAGCAGCTAGGTCGATGGAGGTGTTCTTCTGCTGACCTAGCCACATCTATACAGGGAGTTTAGACTGGCATAACTACAGCCGGCCCCTGAGCGCCATAGCTATGTCAACCCAAGCATTAAGCGTAGACCAGACCTGTGTTTCACTCAGTGAAGTCTGGTTAATGCAAATACAGGCACTACCCAACTGGGTCTTTTTCCATCCTCTTGCCTCAGTATCTTTAGTGACCTCTCACTGCATAGAGCATGTCAGACTCCTTTTAAAACATTTATATTTGTAATTTTTTTTCATACAATTTCCATTACAAAAGAGAGGGGAAAGAAGAATTATAGAAAAAAATAAATGTTCACCTCATCTGAAGTACAAATTACAAATCTCATTTCCAGCATGAGTTGCTATGTCCTCATATTTTTACTGGAGTCCACACACTGTATAATACTTTATACATCCCTCAGGAAACTGTTTATTACATTATTCTAGTCACAAACATGTACATTTTTGGATCACAGCAGCATTGCCTGAGTTGAAAAGTAAAGGTATGACCAAATGAAAGCTTCTAATTTTATAATGCAAACATTTCCAACTATGTATAGCAATTGACCAAAAAACCAGCATATACATGGATCAAAGAATGCATACTATACTAATGCTCTGTTTATCCTGATTAAAGTCCCATTAAAATCAAGTTAACATGAAAAATGAGATATTACATAAAGCGGGGGGGGGAAATCAATACTTTCTCTTATTACTTCACTTACTAGGAATTTAAAAAGTAAAATGAAGACTACACCACACACCAGTGACTTGATAACATTTAAAACTATGCTGCATAAAACCAAGTGCCCAGCTCTATTTTAGAACAGATGTTCTCTCATTCTGTTAATTGCAAGAGAGGTCTTGCTTACTGCTGCAAAGCCAAAGTCACCAGACGTGAAACAGAACTGAGTAAAAATGCGCAATAAGCTTTACTAAACTTAATATAATTTTACAAAATACATATACTCTCTTCTATAATTATCTTCAGTTTACAAATTAATTACACTCTTAATAATGGTGAAGCCTGCAATACTAGACAGCTTTGCAGTAGTTAGTCAAAGAGAGGTTCACTATCCCCCAAGGTGGATAAAAATTGATTTAATCTTTTTAAAACTGATTTTGTTTTTAGAATTTCAATTTAAAAAAATAAAAAAAAATAAAGCTCCAAACCAGGGGCAGTGGAACGGGGAAGAAGGGGGAATAAAGAGGTCAGAGCTATAACCCCACCAAGGAAATACTGGAGGGATGGATCTATATTTCTGCACCCCCAGAGAGCAGGGCCCAGCTCTGGTCCAGCACATAAGTGGTGATGCAGTGGGGGAGAAAAGCACAAGAGCAGGACTTGGAAGAAGGACTAGAGGAGCCACTGAAGATGGTGCATGAGATCAGGCTTGCTGCTGAGAAGCAGGTAGGACTCCCTGGCCCAGATCAGTCCTGCCTTCCAGCCTCCCCAGGAGACAGGACAGCATCTAGGTGGTGGTGGGGGACATCAATACACCAGCCACGAGAACGACGGGGGGGGGGGGGCAAGGAAGGGGTGTATGTGGAGCACAGCAGTCAGTGGGCAAGGAAGTGCCATAGGAATGGCAGTAGGAACTACCAGGATACTCCTTCTGAGTCTGTAGCTGGCTGTTTCCCCCAGTCACAGTAGCTCTCCTTGCTTTCCCTCCACCCACCCCATTCACAGGGAGCTTCTACCCTCATCCCCACTCTAAACTGCTCTTTAGATCTTAAATTTGCTGATAAACTAAAATTAACCCAAGTTTAATAAAAGAAAAAAATGGCTTCTATGTGAAGTTTGTATATGGGAGACAGCTTTTCCTATATTTTATAATGGGTCCATTTCAGTTCCTTTTCCATTTTATGTGCCCAATTTGAGCTACCCTAAGGGTCCTTATTGTCAGAGAGTAGATGCTCAATACTTATTAAAGATTAGGTCCCTTTAAGGTGTGCTAAGTTGGGCAGCTAAAAATCATTGGTCACTTTTGAAAGTCTTGGCAATACACAACATTTTATTTGAACAGACACACTTGTGGAATGCTGCTCTGTCTCTCGTTATGTGAGACAGCATATTATAGATGGGTTTTCAATTTTTTGCTGGATAGCTTTTATAAAGCTGCAATTAAATCATACAGAAAGTACAGACATATGAAACCTGTGCATTAAAGAATTTTAAAAATATTAAACAACTCAGTGAAGATTCAGTGAATTTCCCCTTCCCACATGGAATACTAAAAGGAAAAAAACACTAGCTAGGAAATAACACTTGAGAGTTTAGAAACAACGTGAACTAAACATGTATCACATCCTTATCTTTTTTATTTTGTAAACAATAAGCTAATGGGTATACAGCACATGACTAATATAATAAGACTTGATATGAAATTATTAATTTCCCATTTAGCGTAATAGATGTAGTTAAGTTATTAATTTCACATTCCTGTATTTAATGCCTCCCAAATAGAACTGACTGTTCAGTAAGAAGAGAATAGAAACCACTTCTCAAATAACTGATTTTTAGAGAGAGTCAGAACACTCACCTATGTAGACCCTCCGGCTGTATCTCTGCATCAACAGCAACACAAACACATGCAGTGGAATAAGGTTGATGATGAAAACATAACCACCCCATGCAGAGACCTATGGGAAATTAAACTGTAAATTAGATAATTTAAATATAACTTGAGAAAGAATCTGATAGTTTACAGCTCTATTTATGTACTATTTATTAACACAGTAGTATCATTACATTCACAAAAAAATTTCTTTATTCCAATATAGGCTTTATATGAGACTTTTTAGATGATAACTGGTGTGGGGTGAAGGGAGAACATGTGCATGATTGAAGATCATAACAGCGATAAAGGTGAAGGTTTGCGAATGCTGGTGGTAAAGCTCTCTCAATCAGCTTGTGCCTCTAAAATTTGTTGTCTAAGGAAAGATAGTTAAAAGCCCAAATATGTCCACTTAAAAAAAGAGCTCAAGATGTACCTCTTTGCCCAGTCTCTCTCAACTAATTAAATCCTGGATTCCTAGTGGAGCGGTAAAGCCACAGGCAGCAGGAGAGCACGCCTGATTAAGACTGTCTCAGTGCAAAACTTGGTATTTAAAAACATGGTCATCACTATGGAAAGACATCCTAAGCCATAGTGATGGGTATTAAATAAATGCTAATAATAAATACAAATAATAATAATGGAGCTTGAGAGCAAGAATTAGAAAAGTTACTTTTTTAAAGACAATTCTGTGGGTCACATTAACAGTGAGCTAGTCAGTACATAAACTTTAATTGAGATAAATATCGCCAGTCAGTTTGCAAATACATGCATAACTTTTCAGTCAATGCAGTAGCTATTCCTCTTTTCAAATGAGCTACTTCTTTGATTTTTGCAATGCAGAATGAAGTTTACTACCCCAAAATTGCAATTTTTACCATTTAATTCTCAGCTAATAGTTTAAAGAACACTGATTTCATTAAAAAGATAATGTTACATTGGAGGATACATTTATGTCCAGTCCTAAAGACTGATCTTGGAAAAAACGCATATAAGGAACTTGATTAAAACCTCAGCAGCAACTAAAGGTCTCATTAATTCTTCCACAAATGGAACAGCTATATTGCAAAGACTCACAAGAGATAATGCAAGTACCTTCCCTGAAAATGAAGGAACTTTATTCTTACTATTAATCTTAAACCCTGGCCAAATTTTAGCACTTAATTAGTTTATTCTGTCCCTTAAAACAAAGGAAAAATATGCAATATACCCTCTAGTTCAACTCAGGCATTGTGACATTGATGGGTAGATATAGCCAGGGATTTTGATACTTCGTTTTGCTTTGCACACAGTCCTTTCCCCCCCCCCCCCCCCCCCAATGTGTGTCTGACCCAAAGATGCTACTCAACAAATAAGTGGCAGAATCTCATCATGAATCTCAGAATCTCCCTCATGATTTCCAGCAGTAAAAATGCATTACCACTTCTTTTGTTATTTGACTGAATTTTGCAAATGGTCGTTTTTAAAAGGATCTCCCATCAGAATATGTAGGTGTAGTAGAAAGGCTATACTATACTAGCATAACAAACCCAGGTCTAATTTGTACATGACTGTATATCAAAACAGAAATATGTAACACATCCTTATGTATGGTTTCACAACCACTCTACCATAATATGAAATAAATGTGCTTTAGAGGACAATGCGATGTAAAAGAAAAGGCTTACAGCCAGTATTTAGTTGTGGGGGGGGGGAGGGGGTGTTAAAAGGGGTTTAGGCTGCACCCTATACTCCTGGGGGAATTCTGCACCACTGCACAATGCAGAATTTTGCAGAAATTAACATTGTGCATGCAGGATTTCCTTTCCCCCACAGAAATGGGCTGCAGAACTGCTGGCTGCCACTAAGGGCCACTGGACCCGGCAGAGCCCAGCTCACACATAGAAGACACTGCTGGGGGGAGACAGGGAGCTAGAGGGTGCCTGGCAACTGAGGGAAGGAGGGGGCAGCACTCACGAAACTCCACACAAGCCTGGGACTAAGCATCAGGCTGTTTCTCCCTCTGGACCCCTGGGCTCTGCAGGGGGAGGGGGGCGGGTATCTGGGCTGGGGGAGCCATGGCTGGGCTCGGGGGTAAGGGGGTGCGGGTATCTGGGCTCGGGGGGTGAGGAGGGATTGTGGGTGTCTGGGCCCTGACTGGCTCAGAGGGTGAGGGGGGGAGGCAGAGAAACAGGAACTGCATTGTCATTGGGATTTCTTTAACTCTCTACTCCTGGGGGAATTTTTGTGTATGTCTGTATTGTTACAGACATAATTTATTTCAAAATACCTGTCAGCAAGTACCAAAATAATTGAAACTGGCATGATTATGTAGCGTTATTTTGACAAATAAAGTTTGCAGAATTTTAAAATACTGTGCGCAGAATTTTTAGGCACAGAATGCCCCCAGGAGTGACCCTAGATACTGTATTCACACACAAATCCCAATCACAATCCTATTGCTATTTTAGTATTCTTTAGTTTAAAATGTAAGCTCCTCTGGACAGAGACCCTTTTGTATAAGCTTGAGCTGCTATGTAGATCTCTAGCGCTACATAAATAATTTTTCCAATCGACAATTGCTTCAACTTCCAGCCATTAGATCCTGTTATACGCTTTTGTTTGCTACATCAATTAACCTTCTAGTACACAGTTACCTTCTCCCAGTGTACAAACTTCCAGGTGGTCATCAAATCACTTCTTAAACTTCTCTTTGATAAACTAGATTCACTTAGCCCCACTTTTACTGCGGCCATCCACCCAAGATCCACCAATTCACTCCGAATGAAATTATCTCTTCTATTGTCAGATCATCTCTACTCATTTTGAGCCTCCACCAACTCCATCACCAAAGGAATCTGTCTGCTCCATTCCAAAATTCCTGGCCTATTCATACAAGGGAAAATTTATTTCCCAGAGAACACAAATCTTTACAAAAGGTTCTGAGCAGAAAAGTAAACATCTGCCCTCTTCTTTGACTTAATTAGGCCAGCAGAAGCAGCTGTAAGTTAATTTAAAAAATACAAAACCAAAACTTATTTCCATTCAACTAGATTGAACAGAAACAGCTTAGTTTATGTACAAATAAAAGGCTTACCATATAAAAATAAGATAGACAGCAGCATATTGTCCAAAAGACTGACCCAGTTTTCACAGACTTCACCTTTAAAAAAAAGAAAAAATCAAGTATTCAAGAATTACAAGTTACAATATTAGACAAAGCAATTAAAAATAGCATTACAAAATTCTGTCACCCAAGCCAAAAAAAATGTACCTTTTTATGAAAAGTATGGGTTAAAGCAAAAAGACTCCCACGATCAGTTTGTGTTTTAGGAATTTAACTGCCCACCTTCAAAATTCATGGATGTAGTTCAGAAAGACATCTTCCATAAAATAAAGCAACAGTGCAATTCGGTTCACCTGCATAAGGCCAATCAACCATAATAGCCTATATCCAACTTTTCACTCAAATTGATGCTAGGACATGACACACTAGTTCAGTGGTTCTCATCCTATTTACCATTGTGGGCCCTTATAGGCAGCTCTTGGTGTGTTATGTGGGCTGCATCCACACAATATATATACTACCTATATGGCCCTGAGGTGTGTGCTGACTGGGCTGCAAGCGGTCTGGGGGCTACAGGTTGAGAACCACTGCACTAAATACTTCAACCTCTGAGGCAGAATAGTAGTTGCAGCATCTTTGTGCTACTTTAAGATTGGTGTAAACATAGAGCATATGGCCACTCCTCTGGATGATGACCATCAAAACTCTCACCACTGCTGCTCTGTCAGTCCTTGTATCATATTATTAGGGTAAGTGCTGTTCTATTCTGAAAAATAACTTTGAAAACCCACTTAAGGGTAGTGGGAATATGCAGGTATCACTGAAGGCATAAGCTGAAGACAATGGGGTTCCACAGGTGTTGAGAGTATTATCTGATTTACAGACGATGTGCTAGATGTAAAGAACCCATTTTGACTGTGAGAGTCCATGACAATTTGTTGGGCTGTCAAACAAAATATTTGTTAATACAATATAATATTTTGAATCTATGGTAACAACTACTGATCGATTCTTTTTTAGGGGTTGGTGGGAAGGCTCTGTATTCTTTATAATACATTAAACCTCAGTTGTGGACTACTACTGCTTTACCAGTCCAGTAGTCTTTATTATTTACTTTGATAAATAACTACATATTTTTCTGTACTTCCAAATTTAAGATTGTCAACATTGTGTAGATTTTCGTTTTGATGAATTATTACACTGCTGGGTGTTGGGTAAAGCTAGACGTTTTGACAGCAGATAAGGAATAGCTGGGGTTTCGGCTCATGAAGGTGCGAAAGATGGTTTTGTGTTTTGGTGCTACACTTTCTCTTTCCCTCTCCCTTGTGAGTAAGAATAGAGATTGACTTTAAGTTTGGGGAGAGATGAGTGAACTTTTTGTTCCTTACCCCAGCAATGGTTGGGAGCAAGTAGGTCCTCACTGCAACCTGCCACAATATTGACTACTTCAACAATAACAAAAAGAAGTCAGCCTACTGTTTGTACTAAGATCATCAACAATGACTTATGGCTTGTCTACATGGGGAAATTTCCCAACATAGCTAGAGCAGAATAATTATTCCACTACAGTTATGCAGGTATAAGCCATTGTGTGGACACTATTCCAGAATAAAAATAATTACTTTTCTTCAAAAGAAAAAGTAATTATTCTGACTGGGTTAAGTATAGCAGAATAATTATTCCAGGAAATTTTACCATGTAGATAAGTCCTTATTGTTGACATTTAAATTGTAATTAGACTTCAAAACTAATAGAATCAATTTATATCTCACAGAACTAGTTTTCTGGCTGTCTGCAGACTCAGGCAGACATCACTGTTACCTATTTCTATCTCGTTCACATTTTGGAAGTTGATAAGAACAAGAGATAGGTTTTTTTTAATAATTAAATTAAATTTTCATTTCTGTAGCAATTCTACAACAATTTATGCAGACACAACAGGATTAGACATAGACCTCAGTTAAATATGACTTACAATACAACAGACACCACCCCCATGTCCAAATTATTTTCAAGTAACAGCACAGGTTAATTCTATATACATCTGAACAACCATGAAAAATAAAAGTTTACAACTGCAATTTTGTTTTGGGTTATCAGATACTGATCATGCATCTTCCTGGACCTCCCAATTCAGCAACAGTTGGCCAAACAACTTCCTGGATTCTTCCCACAGCATAATGCAGCCCAAGTTTCAAATACTTCACAAATAGAAAGACGTGTAATACACTTCTACCCCGATATAACGCGACCCGATATAACACGAATTCGGATGTAATGCTCCGGGGGGGGGAGGGGAGAGGGGGTCAGGACTGCGCACTCCGGTGGATCCAAGCAAGTTCAATATAACGCGGTTTCACCTATAACGCGGTACGATTTTTTGGCTCCCGAGGACAGCGTTATATCGAGGTAGAGGTGTATATAGTAAGGAACTGTTTAACAAAAGTAGACCACCCAGTACAATAGAAACTTAGGGGAAACACAGGAAAAACAAACTAATGATCTCCAGCCATAAACATGTACTTGTAATACCAGTAACAATAAGAATTTTGTATTGCCACTCTGCTGGGGTTAATCAAGAGTACGGTATATTCGGAAGCACAAAATGAATTACAGGTACAAGCTGTGTTTCTGTATTCCCTGACACCAACTTGTTATGGAGAGGATTTGTCTAATAATCTCTATTTTACATAAACAGAAATATAACCAACCCAGAGCAGCAGCAGATATATGCGATATTGTAACAAATTACTTCTTTTAGGACAGATCTGCCAAAAACTGCATCTTAGGAAGCTAAGAAGTCAGACTTTGAGAAGGACAAGCAGCAAGGACCATGTTGAGGTCCTACTTGGTGTGTTGAAGTGCTTGTTACTTTGAAATCTGTTTCATAGCCTCTAGCCTCTTCAGCTATACCATTGCAGCGGCCATTCCTTTAGGAAAGTCATTAGGTCTGGGTTTCAAGACATACATGCTAAGGCATAAAATGATGAACTAGCAGAACTTTATACTGGTAATGGTCATCTCTGATGCAGAAATTAAAGATACTTTGTGTAAGTAAGCTTCATGGAGATATGAAAGTAAGCATTTAAGTTTGAGACCCACAAAGCAATCCTGTGGATTTGTTAATGCAATGACTAAAGCTAGTATTAACAATCTGAATTTGAATTTACAGATACATGTTACATATTCTCAAATCTAAAAAGGGATGGGGCTTTCCCCTCTACTGTTAAGGCACTACTTCTATTGTTCAAAGCTATGATAAGTTAGTAACTTTGGCTCTACTGCTAACAGACAATCAGAAAATGTTAAATGTTTCAAATTTAACAAAAAAAATTGGGGATAATTTCCTTTAAATTTCTCCCTCTCTCTCTCTCTTTCTTTTTTTTGGGAACAGTACTGTTTAGCAATTTTTCATGAGGGGGATGCCTGAACAAGTGATTGGACAGGAAACAGTTCTAGGGCAATAGATGCTGTGATATTCTATATCTTGAGATTGTGTGTTCTCATTTCTATACTATAACAAAATGTACACTATATTGTTGAATTAAACTGCACACTGAGTTGTAGTTTAGTTGATGAATATACAACCCTCAAAGTGTCCCTCCAACATACAATAAAACACTACTCTCCTATTTTGTTCTGTTTATTCTGTAGTACATAAAGACTTTCATTTACAGAATAGCAATTGTGAATTGTGTGAATCACAATAACCATTGACTATTTTCATGCCCCAAAGCAGAGTGGCTAAATTAACTCAGTACGGTATCCGCTGAACCACCCTACAATACAATACAATGCTTTATAAAATATAATGATTCTGTTTAGCTCTGGTTTAATTGCATGTGAGACAAGAACAATATTTGTGCTGTATCAAAAGCACACGGCTATTAATGTGGACCCTGTTTGTCTGGCTCTGCCCCACATTGTCTAATTTGTGTTCAGTTGTATTTGCTATGCAGAACTTCTCAGATTACTTTCAATAGTCCAGAAAAACCCAGTAGCTTAATTCTGCCCCTGCCTCTTTTTGTCATGTAATGATACAGGAATGTGTTCAAGCCATGCTAGCAAGCAGACTGTTTAAAAAATGCTAGCTTAACTCTATTTTCATCACTTCACACATAGCCACAGAATCAAATACAAGAAAACCACTGTTTGAGCTGAAAATGTAAACCCCTTATTGTTAGAGAACATCCCTTGAAAAGTAGCATGACAGGCTGATTTAACAAACTGAGGAGCAACAGTGTGGCAGATGGTCATATGTTACTTTTGGGTGCCTATCCAATCTTTCTCTAAACCTATTCTAGAAGGCAATGAGAATTATAGAAGGAAGAAAAAAATTCTAAGGATCCAAAATTGGATCCTAAGGCAAAGGCCAGGAGTAAGGTCAGGAGAATAGGAAAAAAAATAGCGAATCTGAGCAATTACTTACCCACAAATAGTACGTGAACTGCAGTGCAAAAATAGCTATGCCTTCATTGTCAAAGGATCCTGCTACTGATCGAGATATGTAACCTGGAACTATAGCAATAAAACAGGCAGCTAAAAGCCCTGCTCCTTGGTTCCACAGTTCTCTGGTGAGCAGAAAAGTAGAAATAGATGTAAGGCCGCTAAAAACTGGTGCTAGGAATACACATACATCTCTTATGTGGACTGTGACATTTAGCATATTTAAAATCCAATGTATAAGGCCTGCTGTCACCATCAATCCAGGGTAGACCTAGAAGAAAAGAGAAAGAAAATCAAATAATAATATTTCAGGATTGCAGAAAGGGTTGACTGTAAATCTATTTGCATACAACAAAAGTTACTTATTTCTTGGTTGAAGTCAGTCACATGCAGAGAAAAACGAAATTATTCTAACACTGCTTTCAACATATCTGATACAACAACTTAAGGCAATTTGCCACACTTTAAATTATATTAAATGATTGTTGACAACATGTGCAAGAAACCATTTCCTCCAAATAAACGATGAAGCAACACATACAGATTCAAATTTTATCTACCCTGGAAGTTGTTATAAGGAAGATGATCTTGTAGGTCAGGCACAAGACCAAGAGACGTATGTTCTATTTCTAGTAAAGCTATTCAGAAAATTTCAAGCCATCTGAAAGTGATGCAAAATTGAAACATTTCCCAAAAACTTTATGTACAGTTTTTTTAAATTTTTGTCATTTTTCAAACAGTTCTAAATTCCTAGTTCTATCATAGGCTTCCTATGTGACTTCTGCCAAATTGTTTAATCTTGCAGTGCTTCCATTTTCCACACCTGTAAAGTGGGAGATATTAGCCTACATTTCAGAATTTTGCAATGATTAAGTCACTGCCTGTAAACAAACAACCCATCCACCCACCCTCAGATATATACTATTTTATATATTTAAGTGCAAAGTATTTTAAACAGTAGGAAACTTTGACTATGAAATATTAAAAAAAACAATTGAACAGAATTAAGATGACCTCCATGGAAGTGTAGCACAGATTTACATGAGTCTGTTGAATCTAATATCAACTATATCTACTACAGGATTTCAGATAATAAAACATTCTAAGTAATAGTTTTACTCTACAATATTAGGAGTTCAATGAAACAATGGTGCCTAAACACTAGACTAGAACATTAAAAAATTTCAAATGCCTTAACTGCCCTGCAAAAACAATATAAGTAATACATTTCTGCTAAATTAAACTTTAACATGGGTATTCCCCTAAATGTCTCCAAGACTTAGTTTCAGAGGTGAAACTCTGAAGTTGAACAAAAACCACTAAATATGTTAAGAGACCTTCTGAAATAGGCCAGGAATTAAAGATGAAATTATATTTTTAATCCATTTTAACAAGGATTTCAAAAAGTTATATAGAGCTGGTTTATTAAAATGTTTTGTTTAAAAATAAAATCACCATTTAATTTATTGCATAACACTCTGTAAATCCACTTAAATGGTATTTATTCTCTTATTACTGAAGAAAAGGTGCTTCTATGGGTTTTCAACACATTTGTTTGTTATTAGAACTCTTTACACCTTTCTAATCTCAGTCTTCCTTAAATCAATGACATTTCATTGTACCACAATTTGATGTCATTTAATTTTTTCTTCTATTCTTGCATCCACATTAATTTGATCTCATTTATTTTTTATATTCCTTAGAAAATCTTTACATTTCCCCCATTATTTTTAATCTAAAAGAAAAGTATTTGCCCAGTGCAGACCAATATTTTCTACAGACTCAAATATCCACTTAAAAAAATATAATAGATCTAAACCTTGGCCATAAACATGAAAAAGCCAAGCATTACTCTTGGCTTCAATTGAAAAATGCATAGTCATCCATTACATCAAAGAGGTAGGTCTGTAATGATACATGCTACAAGACAACAGGATTGTGAACGAGTCATAATAGTCTCAATTACTGTTACTGAAAGTTGACGTATAAGCGGCTACTGATTGACAGTAAGTTGTCTGAACTAGAGGTATAAAGCTGACATTGTATTAGTAGTAACTGAAATTCTTATTGTGGCTATTACGGCAATTAAGAGCACATTACATTTAGTTTCTCCTTTAACCCATGTGGTAATTTTACTTGTAGTTATCCTGAATTTTTTACATTCACCAAGAAGTGATCATTCTCGTACTTACAGTTCCACCTACTATTCTTCCCAGTGGATACCATGCTCTTTCATCAAACCAATTTAAAAATTCATAAAACCCATGGGATGCAAGGTGATGTGTTGATCTATAGTTAAACCTAAAAAAAGAAAAGAAATTTAGAATATTAACTTCAATTATTCCATAGCAACAACAGCTAATCTCGCCTCTTTCCATAACCTAAATCAATATCTGGGTCAAGTGTCAAGACCCATATGTGTAAAAGAAATAAATACAACATTCAATTTTGGACCTAAATAAAGTTTGGAATCAAGCTGCCCAAAGTTATATTTTTCCCATTTATCCACTATAACATTGCTTGCAGATTTAAAACTGGCGTTTATACACACCATGCAAAATGTGCCTCTCCCCACTTTTAAAAGCTTAAGTTAAAATATGTCAGACATTCTCTCATTTTCAACTTTACTCTAATCTCTGCATCATGCAAGTAATCAAATCTTTAAATGTAATGAATCAACAGATTATCCATTATAGCCAGACCATTTAGGATACTGGAAAAATTGGCTTCAGATCATGGCAGAATTTATTTGTCAATCCTTCATTCTTAAATTAAGTATATTGGTAGCACTTATTCTACTGCCAACTTTCAACTTATAGGATCAAGATGAAGTAATATGGCAAGATAGACAAAAGCAGTACCAACAGCACTCTGCATATAAACAGTATGCAATGTTACAATCCATTGGCCTGGATGTTATCCCCCATTTTAATATAAAAGAAAATTCTAAAAATAAGTTTCTTGCATATATTTTCTGTAACCAAAGACCCAATTACCTTAAAAGTATAAGAAAAAGGAGCCCTCCCTTACACAGGTGTGTACCTATTCAGTTTAATATTTCACACCACATATGCCCCAGAGTCAATAGAATGAGACTAGCATGTTACCCACACAGTGCAAGAGCACTCAAGGTCCTGCATACCTGAAAACAATTTTAGCATCTGAAAGACATCTTAACATATGTCATCATCAGTGATTTTTAATCAACACAACAAAGGAGCACAAGAAACTCAAATTCAGTTACAGAGGTCAGCAGATTGCAGGTTCACATTTACTGAGCCAACTATCAGTCAAGTGAGATTGTAAGCAGATTTTTATATATAATATTTTCAACACACACTCCTGCGTGACAAATAAGATAGTGTATTGGATAAGCCCACTGATAAGATACTGTGTACTTTAAGAAGAAACCAATTATGTTTATAAAAGAAAATTCATAAACATCAATCTTTCTGACCTAGAAAGATTCAATCATATCAAGCGACAACGCACGATTAATTTCTAATAAGCTTCACACTATTCCCATTTGACTAGATTGCTAAAAATATTAATTCTTCAGTTCTGAATTGTCAACATTAATATGATCTATAAAACACCATGCCTGTAAAATTAGTCTCTTATCTAAGCACAGCAAAGGTTTACCATTAATTTGATTAGTGTCAATAGTAAGCCCAGCATTGCACAAGACGAAAAGGAAGACATGGTCCCAACCTCAAGAAGCTCACAATCTAAACAGCTGACATAAAATGCACAGGACAACCCAGTGGCTGATGGTGTTCTAGAGCATGTCTTTTGTTTTTTCTGTTTTTTTTCCCCATGAGTTGGTGATAACATATTTTCTGACATAGTTTAGTTTAGAAATCCTTTAACAAAGCCTCAATTGGATGCTAAAAAAAGACAGCTAATATTTATTGTGCCACAATTCCAAGACTGCTTAAGTGGATGAAATAGGAAAAAACCATTAACCTCCTCCTTGTGCTGCAAACTACTGTTAAATATGCACAACTGTCTTCAGTGGAAAGTGAACTTTAACATCTGTACTTCCTGCTTTGGGAGCATAATCTTAAATCTTTAATGAACACTGTCAACTGCCAGTGAACACTAGTGAAGAAATTCCTTTTTATTTATAACATTAGGATGGAAGAATTTAATTTTCCGCTTCTCCCCAGTATACTTTTGACAGATATAAAATAAACTAACTCCAGCTTTCCAAAATGGACTGTGATTCCTGCCATAAAATAAAAACTTACAAAAACACACATTTCAAGATTTCATAGTTGAAATGAACAGCAATAATATTACATTAATTTTGTACCTTGACAAGATGTACAGTAAGTGTTGGGAGTGCCATGCAGAAAATGATGCAGGACATTATAATTACAGTATGTAGATCAGAAAACCAGAATATGAATACCACAGTTCTTCTAAACTGCAATATTTAGTATTCCTATACTGTAACAATGACTATTCACAGAATTTAAGAACTTCGGGGAGATACATACACTAATGGGAGTTGTGGGAAAATCAGGCCACTTAAAAAGCTACATATGGATTTAATAGGTTAACTACAGGCATCACACTTCCTATTTTTTTTACCCAAGGCATTACTTTTCTCCAAGAACCTCACAAATGAAAACCATCCAAGATTTGTGCATTCAAAAACTTTCTGGTTAAAGCTGTTAAGTTACGCTATACATCATGAACCAATGATGGCATTGTCAAATAGTCTAATTTTATTTCAAACAAAAAATGGTTAGTTACCTTACAGTAACTGTGGTTCTTTGAAATATTTTGCCCACACAGATCCCACACTAAGTGTGCATGGGCCCCAGGCACAGGAGATCAGATTCTTTTGGTTGGTAATGACTGTTGAGGCTGAGCACATGCGCTGCATGTACTTGAGTCCCTCTGATGACAGCACAAAGGGCAGAATGTCCGCAACAGCCACTCAGTTTCTTCACCAATACAGAAGCCCCCAGGCCAGTGGTTCTCAACCCATGGGCTGCTTGTAGCCCAATCAAGCACACAGCTGAAGTCCATGTGACATCCTCAGGGTCATACATGTAGTATATACATTGTGTGGATGCGGCCCACATAACACAGAAAGCTTCATATACAGCCCACAATGGTAAACAGGTTGAGAACCACTGCCCTAGGCCAAAAGGCTCCATACCAGAGAGAGAGAGAGAGAGAGAGAGAGAGAGAGAGAGAGAGAGAGAGAGAGAGAGAGAGAGAGAGTGTGTGGTGGTTCATCATGGGATCACGTCTTCTCAGTGAACTGAGACAGCTCTTTAGTCGTTATGTCAGTAGTGCTATACATCATGTAGTGGTGCTGCTTGTATGGATTTTTTCTTTAAGTATTTGTCTATATAGGTCCCATTCTAGGAGACAGGCAAGAAGCTGTCTCTCTGGTGAGTGCCAGGAAATGGTGAATGGTGCAAATGGTGAATCAGTTCTAGAGTCTGACACTTGAGAATGATGAGCTGAAAAAGTATGTATGGAGGTCCAAGTAGCAGCCTTACAGATTTCAAGTAGAAGAGATGACTTTTAAAATGGCTGAAAAGACTGCCTGAATTCTAATAAAACGTGCTTTGATATGAGATGGTGGGGTCAACTTATTCAGTTCATAACAAAATTCTAATGCAGTCTGATACCCCTTTTGAAAGTCTGTTGAAAAAACCCACCCTCTGGATTTATTACAAAAGGTACAAAAGGTGTGATCTGTGGAACAGTTTTGTCCTACTGAGGAATACAGATAGCTCTTAATATGTCTGTATGTGGAGTTTAGTCTCTGCCAGGGACTAGTAAGGTCTTGGAAAGAACTAAATGAATCAAATGATTTAAACAGAAGTCTAAGCCCACTTTAGGCAGAAGTTTAGGATGAGAATGAAGAGTAACACTATCCTTCTGGGAGGTGGCACAGGCGGTCCTACCATGAATGCTTGACTTTCACTCACTCTGAACAGAAGTAATAGCCACCAATAATGCAGTCTTAATAGAAAATGGTACACAGAACAGTAGCACATCCAAACTGTGAGATGTAGACACTGGATCAGGGTGTCAAATCAGACCTTCATCCTGTGACATGATGTCCAGAATGACAAGCAGCTTGAATTGTGGTTGAAAGAGATAGGTGTATCATCTCTAAATACCAAAACGGCAGTGTCTACAATAGGGCTATTAACGTAACTTGAAGCCCTGTCATGTCATAATTTCCTAAGGACTCTGGGGATTAAAAGGCTTGGAGGGAAAATGCATAGAGTAGATTCTTGTTCCACTGAATCAGAAATGAATCCGAGATGGAGCCTGGACTCCTCCTGTGGAGCAAAACGTGAGATTTGTTGCTTAGACTGGTCATGAATATGTCTATAGTGTGAGAGCCCCACTTCTGAAAAATTCTCTGAAAGACAAAATCCTTGGAGGCTGATTCATGAAGAGATTAGCATTTTCTGCTGATCTGATCTGCTCAACTGCTTTGGACCTCAGGTAAGTGCAGAGCTCCTTCAGTCATGTTTTAACACAATCAAGTTTTGTAGCGAAGACAAAAGAGAAAAGAAGAGAAAAAAACACCAGTCTTGTTGATTTTAACTGCTGCTATTCAGAATCTAGTGGACAGCAGTGAAATTGGCTGTAAGGTCAATACTCTGCTGTCATTCGGGAAAGCTATGAGCAGCAGCAGAGACAGGCACCGATACTATTCATGGGGGAAGAGGACTCAAAATGAAATCTGGGAGAACAGTGGAAACACACACAACCAACCCACCCTTCTAGACAGCCACAGACATAGAAAGGGGTAAAACGGTAGGAGACCATCATCGCATTGGCAGCTACAAACTTTGGAGGAGTGATGAACAGAAAAAGAATACTCCTTTTCCCTTACAGCAGCAAGAGGATAGGATTAGGCTGTAAGTTTACCAGATATCTACCAGGCAGAGGATGAAATAGGGTGGATAAAAAATCAATGATAAAAAAATAAAATCTTTTTTTTTTATTTAAATCTGATTTTTTTGATAAAATGATTTTGGAGGAAAAAACCTATCTAAAGATAGGTTTAATTAAGATACATTATAGCTCAAAGATATCTCATCATGGAATAGGGATTATAAATTCTAATTCTATAGTATGAGACAATATATTCATGTAATGTTTAAAAAAAGTTTTGTAAATGAGTTCCAATAGTTCATGGATTAGGGACCCAATCTTATGAGGTTCCAGGGGCTTCTGTATAGATTATTTAGATTAATCTTTCTATCTACCCAATGGGACTCAGTGCTCTGTCTAGAAGATACCATCAGAGATGC